CTCGCCCAGCACCCTCACCACCTCCTGAAGTCTCGAAGAGCCACTCTTATCTCGAGCTGGCCACTTCCGTCCCTTGCCCCTGCCCTGCAGTCTCCTGGGATGAATGTCTGCGGCCTGGGAGCAGGGAAGTGTACCTTGTTCCCAAAAACAGGCCATCTGTCTGCAACTTGCCAATCCTCACTCCCTGAGTCACTGATAAATCTGTCTGCCTTTCCTCTGACTTTGCAGTGACTCAAGTTTTGCAGTAACAGAGTTGGGTTTGTGGAGTTCCCACTTTCAAGGGATCACGTAGCCAAGATACTGCGTGCAATATTCCCAGAGTATTTCTTGAAGTTCTTTTAGCTGTTCAGGTTTATTTTTAAAAGGTTTTATTAGAATTGCTAGTATGTACAAAATGGAGTAAAATACCAAATGACTTAGTGTTATGTCAGAAATAGCCAAACACCAAAGTCCCTCAGCCCCAGAGGTGGAGGATCACTTCTGGAAATCCATCCGATGACCAAGTATGAAAAGGGCTATCTATGAGTCAAAGACGCCCACTGTGGCGTTACTCAAGACGGAACAACGGGGCACTCAAGATGGTCAACAGAAGGGAAATTCTCAACTCCAGGAGACATGGCGGCCTTTAAAAACGATCTTAAAGAATTCATGTGTTTTAAGCGGGGGTGGGGGGAACAGGACGCCAAATTGTATGTACGCCATTACATCAAACTATAAATATATTCCAATAACCCCATAGGAATTTGCCAGAGTGGGAACAGGGTGGTCTAAGAGGAGGGTACTGTGAGTCTTTCCTTCTCCTCCTCTACTTCCCAGTATACATATATTTTTGTATTGTGTTATTTACAAGGGAAGAAACAGACTTGACTTAAAAATCCAAAATGCTTCCTTCACAACACAAATGTGATCACTTGAATGTGCACTTTTAGAAACAGGTCGTTTCTAACTTGCAGAGGGCATTTGGAGCACACGAATGAGATTCCTCCTTTAGTTAGGTAACAGGAAGTATGTGTTCGCCTAAAGACAGACCCAAGCTTAATTCAGAATTATTGAATTTGAAGGTCACTTTGAGGTTTGGCTAGAAGTGCTTTCTTTTCTGCAAGGGAAATGTGCATGTAGCACCAAGCCAGGTATGCAGTGGGCTATGGCCTGACACGGGGTGATGAGTTGTGACAAATCAACAAGAGGAAAGAGAAGGTGGCAGCCCAGAGGCAACACCGACTTAAGTGGATGGAGAGAAATTCATTACAGATACATCAGCTCCCTTCAAGTAGATTCCGGAGCTTGCCTAATTTGCACTATTAAATGATGTGATCAATTTCTTATTATATTTTCTCATTAGAAATCAGTCAGGCATAACTGACAACTCTTATCACTTGGAAGGAAATGTAGCTACAATGTTCTTTCAAGGACAAAATTTTGTTTTTATCTGGAGTAGAAAGACATGAAGACCCTTAAACTGGAATATAATTAATGGTAAATTAAAAGCATTAAAAAATATCTGACAACAGGCATTTACGTGGTTTAACTGCACTGACGACAAGCCACCCCCTAATCTGGCGGGCCCTATGGTTTCCGGGTGAAGATTTTATACCCATCCCCCGCTCCACACACCCCCCCTTGCAAAAAACACAAACAAAACCCTGAGGCATAGCAAAACTAACAGAAGTATTTTCTTTGTCCTACTGGAAGTCATACAATGACTTGCTGTAATTTGATCCACTGCATTGTAACATTTACATTTTCACCGAATTTACAAGTTAGACTAAGTAGATTTGGGGTGAGCAGACTTTTCCTTCAAGTGGAACAGAAGCGGACATCCTTCCAGGGCTCGGAAAGCACAGTGGGATCCACTGAGGCAGGTACGGCCCTGTGCAGCCACTTCAGCAGACAGATCCCCCGCTGGCCCCCAGTCACTGCGGCACATAAACTCCTTTACAGCAGAGATTACAGCAATTCATACGCAGTAATGCAGCCTAATCCCCCAGGGCAGGCGCCAGCGCAGGTGAGGGAGGGCTGGCACCCACTTCCCTGGGACAGGAAAGCACAAGGGATGATCCTGGAAGTCTGGGGCCAGAGCAAATCTCCTTCCAGCAAGCAGCCCAGTGGGGCAGGCAGCTCCACATGTGTCACCTTTCAAGAGGACCAGCCTTGAAAGGCAAGAAACGCCTCTGAAAACCCACTGTTCCTTTAACCTCATTGTTGTCCTTAAAAGGTGGGGTGTGGAGACCTCGGCTCACTGGCACATGCATTTTACTTCCGTGGACACAGTGACTAGTGGATGGAGGTGGTTGCAGACAAAACCCAAACCTCCAAGTGACCCCTCCAGGACACAGGATTGAGGTGAAAGGCGACTGTCAGTTAGCTCGGTCACACACCATGATCAATGGTGTGAGCGTTCTGAGCCCGCTGGGTGGAGGCGTGCCGTATTAGCTGTGTCCCTGCACCTGCCGTGTGCGCAGCCAAGCACATGTCCGCCGAGTCGGGGCTTAAGCTCGAAGGGCTTCATGAAATAGGATGTGGTCAGAGGGCTGGCAGGAAGGAGGCGCAGACAGATTTTGCCTCTGGAGATCAAGAACTTGATCCGCTAGGCTGAGGGTGTGCAGGCAGGCTGGGGAAGGACCAGTTTCAGAGGGTCAGAGCTCCTTCTGTGTCCTGAGCTCCTGGAGCGCCCCAGCTGTGGGTTCACCAGGACCATGCTGTCCCCTTCTGCTCTCAGCACTCGGCAAAAGAGCAGGCACCTCCCTCCCTCCCAGTGTCTGCCTACTTAGCTGCCAAAAGGGATTGTCACATGACCTATAATGTGTGACATGTGGCCCTGTCTCCAAACATGAAAGTCCCGGGATGTTCTGACCCATGTGTATGCTCCAGTCTCATGCTGGCCCAGAATAAGAGTGCCGGAAAGTGATCCTGCCTCTAGAAGTGAGGCGCAGATCAACGGCTGCCCCACAAGACAAAGCTCTCCTGTTGCCACTCAGGTTAAGAGTCCCACACGTGCAACCACACTGCCTGGGGAGCCCTGTCCTCCCCTGTGAACACGCCCAAGTCGTCAGAGAACCAGGTCCACCTATACTGCAGCAAGAGGCTGGCACAGGTACACTTGCCCAAGCAAGCACGTGGTTCCCTCTCGTTTGTGCAAATGAATTTTTAAAAATGCTATCCATGCTAGTCTATACACAATTCACATCCTTCCCCACCAGGACACAAAAACCTGGTGGCTCTTTGCGGGAGGGGCCTGAGGGCTGGACAGTGGGTGGGAGCACGGAGAATCCATTTCACGCCTTGGTGCACTGGTCCCCTCCCCACTTTTAATCATCTTCACATATCATTCTTAACTTTTAAATATTGTTAACAAGAGCTATCTGGTTTGGGGGTTATGAGCCATTTCATTGTAATACTTTCTGTATTTAAAATAAAGTAATGCATGCTAACAGAAAATGGAAAGTAGCAAATGATACAGAAGTCTAACTAGAAAGCGCTCTGAGTTTAAGGGAAGAAGGAATTATTTCCAGGTCATGAGTGTGGGGGGCCACAGGATCACAGCCACACAGTGGCAGGTAGGACTTGGTAGGGAGATCAGGCCAAGGGCATTCCACTGGGCAGAGCGCACAGGTGGGGAACGGTGCCTGATGGCGCTGTTAGGGGGAGTGTAGGGCACTGTCATTCCAGACATGAAGGCCCAACACGCTGGGGTATCATGTGGAACAAGAAACCCAGGCCCTCGAGTGGCTCCAGAGAGGCAGACATTATCACATGACCAGAGAATTAAGTCCCACTGTTGTAGTGATATTGGAAGGGTCTGGGATGACATCAGAGGGGACAATAAGGGAGTTTCAGCCAGCCCCTAGAGGGTGAGTGCAGTTGGCCGGTGGAGTAGTGGGCAGAGCTCCACAAGGAAAGCATGTGCAGGAGAGAGACTGATGTGCCCACAAACTTGGAGCCCCGTTTCCCCAAAGGAGGTTCCCCAGGGGGTCTAGACAGGCCACTCTCTGGGCAGCAGGAGGGCACTGGGGCTGCTGATTTGGAAGGGTGCTTTAGGAAGAGGGGCCCCGGCAGAGGGACCAAGGAGTACCCAAGGGGGTGAGGTGGGGAGGGTGAACCCGGAAAGCAGTGGGCACAGAGTCCAGACATGGCACTAGCAGGGGAGGGGACCTGGAATGAGGGGTCCACCACATCTCTGGAGCCTGAACGCAGATGAAGGGAAGGCATTACCTTCATGAGCACCAACCCTGACATCAGGAAGAGGAAAAGACTTGAGCAAGAGCGCAAGCAGGAAGGAAATGGTCAATCTGAACAAAGTCACCATGGACAGACATTCCAACGATGAAGCTATTGCTCACACCCCATCCCAACTCCTTATGTAGTTCTCTACTATGATAAACAGGAGAGAATTTAACTTTCTTGGGCATCAAGATGTATACTGTGCTCTTCCTTACTGAAGAATAAAAATGTGCTTTTTCCCCAAGGAAAAACTAAATACTCCCACAAAGTAAATGGCAATTAGGCTGAAGGACAGCAATTCCTACTGTGAGCACAATGTCATTATATTGGGTCTTAACTGTCATTACACAGTAAATACCTGTCCTGGGAGTGTAATTCGCATCCACAAAGCTTGCTGCCTTGGCATCAAAAATCTTACTTTTTTGATTCAACTGCGTGCAATTTATCCTGTAGCCAGATCTATCCTAAAACTCTGAGAACGTCCGTGCAACTGACAGCATCACGTGGGTACTTGTTAAAATGCAGATTCTAATGCGCCAGGAGGTCCACCATGGGGCCTGAGAGGCGCATTTGTACCAAGGAGCCAGACCAGGCTCGGACCTGGTTTGAAGATCTCTGTTCCAGAGAACACGACTGGGCAAAGTGAACAGGAACAAACAAAGGACAAGCTCATTCTAGGAAAAAATAGAGGAAGAGGCCCTTGAAAGTTAGCTTCATCTCACTCCCAAACTGCAGTCAACAGCAATATTCCCCTTAAATAACTCAAGAAACTTTACGAATCAGTGTTTAAGTTTTTTACTTTCCAAATGTAATACAATTCTTCAGCTAAAACAGGAGTAATGAGACAAAATGGATCTGAAAAGTACAATAGAAAAATATTGTTTACTAGTTTATTTTTCCAAATGAGCAACAGGCTATTTACAAGTAAGCAGATCTCCAATGATGTATATTAAAATGGCAAGTCTGTTACTGTTTGAAATCTAAATGAAAAAAAAATTTATTAAGGCACGTTTGATCTGTGAGTTTAAAACAAACTTTAAAACTTTCTGATGTAATGTCAGATTCATTTCACTTTTGTCCCCAACACAAGTGAGCACCAAAATTGTCAAAGAACACTTAATATTTAGTAAAACAGTAAGGAATGTAAAAATTAACGAGGGGGGAAAAGACTTTACAAAAGGAAATCTTTGGAGATCAGTTTTTTTACTGCAAATAAAACATACTAAACACACGCCCAATACACATAAATACCAGTAACTAAGAGGGACTCCAGAAACGGCAGTGCTCTAACCAACGGATATTAAATAAATTAAAGGTACTTCAGATACAAAGGAGAAAACAAAACAGCAATGAAAGAATGAAATAACCATTTCCACCAACGTAACACAGAAGGGTGAAGGGAACACACCAATACATCTCCCCCAGTGCTTTCATGAGGGTGGGTTTTTTTGTTTTAGCTTGCGCACATAAGATTTATTACAATAATTCTTCTTTGCTGTTCTAAGTACTAATACTTGACCCTTTCAAGAGAAGGGTCAGGAAGACAGAAAATGCCAAAGCCTTCTGGGAATTTAATGCCAGGTCCATTCAGGCTACAGGAATCACGAGGGCAGCCATGGCCTCACTGTGCCTTCCTTGTTCCCTCTGCTTCAAAAAACCTCCATGACAACAAACCCAAGTTTAGGAGAAAGAATCAACTTTGGAAAGCTCTCCTGAAGATGACGATACAGCTATTATCACATTTCCTTATTTTACAACTGGAACACGAAACGGCTTAAAAAAAAAAAGTCATAAAAAAGACAAAAGGTAGAATCTGTGCAATGTTAACAGTTACAACAAAACATTTACCAGAGTTACAGTGTTTTGTTACAATAATACTTTGCAGGATCGTTCACGTTTTCTGCCATAGGACTACAGCAAAGGGGTCTGAAAAGGAAATGAAAAAAAAAGTTTTGTTCATCAGGTACATTTCAAGTCCTAGTGAAGCAAGTCTGCTACATGACGTTCAGCAAGAAAATGTGTTCAAAGGCAAACATGATCACATTTTTGTTCAAAAAGCTCGATCTTCAAGGAGTCCTTTGTAAGAAAATCACATGTAAAATATATCCTTGTATGGACTTCAAAAACTGATCATACAAAAAATTTTTGAAAAATAAATTAGATAGTTAAAAACGTCTTTTCCAGCAGAGCTGGACATTAGGCTGTCCTCACTGAGCCATTATTATTGCTGCTTTTACTGTAACTTGGGTCATTTTTTTCTAGCCACATTTCAGCCAACTGCTGTGTGGACCCATATGTTGATGCTTTGGACCCCAAGCACATTTTGTACTGTTTGGGATCAAGATTGGGATCACAGAAGACGGGATGGTGGACGTGGACTACTCCTACTTCTTGGCTCCTGAACGTCTTCAAACCTGCCTGGACAACCTTGTTGAAAAGGTCCACATCCTCAAGCCCCCAGCCTTGGATGGAAACATCAAAGCCGCCTACTCGGACAAGATCTCCCTTATAAATACAAGTAATGCCAAACCCATAGTTTCTCCAGAAGCCGGTTTTTTGAGTAAAGGCAAAATGGTTGTCACTGGGAACTTTCCCACTATAAACAATCTTTGGATCGTACTGGCTAAAGATGATTGGAAAATATATTTGTTGGCCGAGAACTGTATTTGCTCGACATCGTTGGAGGAATTCTGTAGTGAACACGAGGTCAACGTCACAGAAGAAGAGCAAGGATTCATTATTAAACTGGGAAGATCCTACTTCAAGGGCCAAAGCTCTTGAAAACTCTCCAGACACAGACAAAATCTGCATGTCAGCTTTAGGGTACTTAACGCGATAATCTCTCATGAGTTCAACTTGTTTGGCCTTGTCAGGGTTGGAGTCAGAATTGAAAAGCAGAACAACAAGCTTGACGTTCTGATTTGGAATGAGACACGTCTTCTCGAAGTTACCCATAAATCTCACAAACATGTCAAAACGTCCAGACAAAGGAATCAATATATTTATCTTTTTCTCTTTGGGTTCTTTGTGCTCGCTCTTCGACCCGGGGAGCTGAAAGGGAACAAGCTTCTTCAGGGAATTCGAGAGAAAGGACAAGGATCCAGACTCCTGATTGATTTTCTTGGCCAATTCCTTGGCATCCAGTTCCTCGTGCTCCACAAACTGGATCTTGCTGAAGGCCTGCTGTAAATACGCGTGCCTCCGCACAGGAACCGTCATTTTCTTCCCTTTGTGCCTTTTGTACAGAAGCAGCAGGTCCAGGATATATTCGGCCCCATACATGGGATTCACGCGGCGATAGCCATACTGTATCTCCTTGAAATCAATAATGCGCCCTCTGGTCTTGGCGTTGGCATTGATCATCTCCATGACCTGCATGACAATGTCATCCAAGGCCTCTCTCTGGGCGGAGTCCATCCCTCTTCGAGGGGGCTGGCCATCTGCAGCCGAATACAAATATTTCCCAGTCAGAAACTCCCACTCCAGAATCTCCTCTCGCTGGCGGGGCTGAAACCTCATGAAGGAAGGAGGGATCCCCAGCTGGAGGTCTTCCTTATGAACCTCGGTGTTGCTGTATTTGCTCATCAGGACGATCTCGCGGTGGAGCTGAATGGTGCGGTGGCGGAGTTCGGCTATTTTGCGACTGAGCATGTAGCTGTGGAGCCGGTACTGGTAGGGCGGGTTTTTGTTGGGGTGCAGCGTGATGGCTCGGTGAATTTTACTGTTATGGAGATCTCTAATGTACCCCTTTTTGTTCTGCTCGTAATTCTCATAAAAAAGTTGCTGCATCTGTTAAGAAAAAAAAGATTGCTATTTTAGCATTACACGACTGAGTGTCCCCCATTCTTTTATTTCCTTACATGCCTGCAGACCCTAAAAAAATGTCACTATTAGAAATCTTTGTAAATGAGCCATAACACACAAAAGGCCCTAGACAAAGCCCCACCTACAGCAGTCCAACGAGATGAGAAGAACAGTTACAAACTGCTGAAAGAAATAAGACTTCATCAGTAAAGCTGGCCAATATAATTCTGCAGGAAACAGAATTATGAAAAACTTTTCCCATAAAGAAAAAGTGTAATCGTGAATCAGAGTGCACCAAGTCAGCATACCTGGGAGAGAGTGCCACCTTGGGGCCCACCAAGCCTGTTGACAGGGACCTAAGAGGCACAGTGCCCTCACTGAAGACTAGCAACCAATGGGAGCTGCCATCTATCTGGAACAGCAGCCCCTGCGGCTGCCCTTGTTTTGGAATAAACTGCATCTGATGGAGTAAAGAGGAGTGCAGCAGGATGACCTGCGCACAGGATTAGCACTGCTCCGGGGAGCTAGAGAGAAGGAAGCCGTTCACACGCAGGAAGAGGCCTGCCATCTGGAGGGACGTGCTGCAGGGGAAACCAAGGTTCTGCAAGGCAGCTGGAAGTGTGCACTCTGAAAATCCTTTAAATGCCTGCTTGTTCCTTGTGTCAGGTGTGCCCCTCCGTGGCCTCTGTGCAGGCGGGAGGAGGGTCTGCCTGCCCAGCACGGGGTCTCCAGTACCAACACAGAGCCGGCGCATGCAGGGCTCAGGAAAAGTCAGCTGAGCTGAAGGCAGGGAAGGCAAGGCAGCTCATTATTCCACCAACTCTCCCTCTGTCCTACGATACAGGTGTGGGGGAACATCAGCTTGAGGTCCATCACATGCTGGGGAGGTCTGCGTTCCCTCCAGTCAGGCAGGGAACACACTTAATTCCCCAGTTCATTCGAGCAACGAGATGATGAACGCCTACCAAGCCTTATGGAAAGAAGAATAAAAATTTGCAAAAAATGTTTAGTAAAAATAATACTTGAGGTTGGTATCAGCTAAATTAGTCCTGTTTCTTTCATTTGTGGTTCGGTTTTGGTTCTTGTTCGAATTGTTACATACTAACTCTTGATAAGGGTGATAAGAATTTCAAGAGAGAACTTATTGGTCTTTGGACAGTCATTTTTTTTTTTAAGAATAAATGAAGCCCACTTTACTTGGGGGGACACGGGTGCTCCCCAACATGGAATGATTTGTGAAGCCCTGGGAAGACTCCCCATCCAGAAACATTTCCCCCACTGACTCCAGGAATCCCATCCTTAGCTTGCTGGGTCCACCCTTCCTCTCCTAGCAGGCCTCTTTTTTTTTTTTTTTTGGTGAGAAGAGATTGGCCCTGAGCTAACATCTGTTGCCAATCTTCCTTTTTCTTTCTTCTCCCCAAATCTCCAGTGCATAGTTGTGCATCCTAGTTGTAAGTCATTCTAGTTCTTCTATGTGGGACGCTGCCACAACACAGCTTGACGAGCAGCGTGTAGGTCCGCACCTAGGATCCAAACCTGCGAATCCTGGCCCGCCAAAGCGGAGTGCGTGAACTAACTACTCGGCCACGGGGCAGCCCCTGGACAGTCATATTTTTAACTTTTTCTTCTGAGCCATTGTAACCACCATAAAACAGAAAGATACAGATTAGCATTTTTACACCCCATTTTCCATTTCTATACAATACTGTAAGCTGCTAATAAATAAAGACAAGAAGAGGAAAAAAGAGGGAAATACTTCCAAAGAATAGCTTAAAAGAAGAAAGAGGGGCTGGACTGCCTGCCAGGTTCTGTGCAGGGGCTGCACGCACATTCACTCACTCCCAGAATTCCCATGGAGCCTGAGTCTGACAGACGCTGACCTGCTGAACTCCACTCTTTCCTCTCCCTGCACCTGTGAAGTCTGCTCTAGGTAGGAATTAGCATGGAATTACAACACCTCTGAAATGCACTCACTGCTTCCGACTCTGCTTCCCCCGTTGTCCATGATCAGCATATGGGACATGTACATGAATCATCCAGTGCAATAATTTCCAAATTTTACAGTTCATTAGAAAGGGCAGTCAAGTTTAAAATAAAGAGGAAGCAGAGTGCCTCTAACCTTGGAGAGAGCACTGCCTTTTCCGGGGGCTAAGACGCACCAGGACACGTGGGGCGCTCACCCACGCGCGGGCAGAGTCTGCTCGCTTTTCTCTCAATGTACTGCACACAGCACACAGCAGCACTGAGTTACTGGGAACTTCACATCCCTCTTCTGTCACCTACTGTAAACTAGGGGACAGCAAAACTCAAACACTTGATTTACTGAGAGAAGGCATGAAGCAACTGATGCTTGAACCCCTCCAAGCCCTGATGGATGGGCCACAGCTACGACTGAGAAAAACGATAGTAAAATAAATGCCCCATGGCAAGGTTCGGATGACGACCATACGGAGCATAATAATTTTATCCTTCTACTTCACTCTTTACATGAGTCACACGGAAGAAGTTTAATGAGAACTTCCCACTATGCATTTTCCGGCTGGGCTGATTCCGGGGTGCAACCTGCACGGCTACAGGTGACAAGTGAGTGTCATCTGGAGATTGAAAGCCATGAACAAAGACTGAGGAAAAGGTTTTGTAGGTGGTAAAAACTTCGAACAGTCATTTCCCGCGCTCCATCCCTCACCCGTCACGTGCCCCAGCAGTAACAAGGGAATGCCTGCGAGGCCATTCTTCCAGCTTTAACACAGGTAGCCTTACAACCTGAGACCCCACGACGCCCCTTGAGGATGCCACCTGTGTGACGAGGGCTACACAAGGGGCCGCAGCAGACAAATGAGTCACAACCTCCGCGCTCCAAGACTGGGGACTAGCAAAACTACTACTGCACGCCCCGCGATGGAAGACTGCATGATAATTTTGGTAGAGATTTTACAGATGTTTATAATTACATATTATTTCCATTTTGTCTGCTTATTTCCAAATTTTTAACAATGAGCATGAAGAACTACGACTTTCTTTTTTAAAGGTTCCTCCATTTCCAAGATGACTTGGAACTGACTGAGCCGTCGATTGAACACACTGAGCCATCAATTTGGACTTACAAGTTGCTTTCTAAAATTAGGTCAGAACAATCTGAAACAGGTGCTGTTCCTTCCTCTCCCCCTGCACACAGCACATGCTGCCAATTCCATCTCCCTGGGTATCTCAGACCCTGCTCTTCTCTCGCCCGGCTGGTTATGCCTCAGCCTCCCATCCGTCTCCCTGCAGAATTCTGTTCTTCCCTCAATTCCACTCTCGACATAGCAGCAAAAATGGTCTTCCTAAAATATAAATCAAAGACTTATGGCTATAATATGAGTGGGAGAACTCATGATTCTCTCTTTCCAAATATCTCTTAAAAAGAGAATAAAGACATATAAAAGGAATAAACCCATAAGGACCAAAACATGGGAGGAGACACAGCAGACAAGAGATGCCCTCACATTCTGAGAAAATGAAGTGAGTGAAGGAAGATAAAATCTAACAGGCTGCTCTGAAGAGTAATAAAATTTACCCTTCAGAATCCCAAGAAAGATACCACTGCTGCGAAAGGTGGGGGAGAGGCCAGTGCTGCGCACAGGGAGCCTGGAGGAACTGGGAACACGGAGCAGTAGGTCCCACGTTCCCTCCCTACACAGCCAGGGCACAACTCCCCTCCCCCAGCACCACCCCAGGGGCGGGGAAGGAGGGTGGTGGCAGATGCCCAGTATCTTCAAAGACACCCTCCAAGTTACTCTACCATTTAGATGATGGAGCTGTTGACAAAATACACGTAGGACTGCCTACCAATTGTTGTAACTAAACTGGGACTGGCTAGTAGCACATATCGGAGGTTTTTAAATATGTTCATCATTTACATTAGTTATTCCTAAATAACTTCCCATTTTCCCTCACTCCTCTGGGGTTAGTTCATCGATAATCATATACATCTGAAGTTTGGTTTCTCCAGAAATGAAATCTGAACACCTGAGTAGGGATGAGTTCCAGGCTGACAATAGGGGGGAGATGAAAGTCTAAACAGTAGGAATGCCAGCCCTCATCTCTCAACTGGCTCCTAGAACACTTATCCTCCACTCCTCATCCTGAGTAGAAGACCGGAAGCGTCTTTTCTGGATCAACTAAACAGCCGCATAGAGATCTAGAGTCCAACAAAAGACATCAGGCAAAAAGTTGTATCACTACAGTAAATATAGTAGTTAAAAAAATCTTGAGCCCTGCCTGGTGGCATAGTGGTTAAGTTGGTATGCTCCAGGGTTTGTGGGTTTGGATCCTGAGTACGGCCCTACACAATGGTCATCAAGCCATGCTGTGGTGGCATCCCACACACAAAACAGAGGAAGACAGGTACAGGTGTTAGCTCAGGGCCAACCTTCCTCACCAAAAAAAACCCCCAACAAAACAAAACAAAAACCAAAAAAACTTGCCTGCAGAGTTTCCAGTTAATTTTTCAAGGCTTTACTCTTAAATGACAATCAACAACCAAGGACCCTCAGGCAGTTGAAAGAGGGCTCCTTCCAACAGGAAAGATGGAGACAAAACAAAGAAACAAAAAGCTTGGTGGAAAAAGAAACAATGCAAGTGAACAAAAGAAAAATTCAACAACAAAAACAAAACTATAATGTATTCAAAGAGAAGAATGTATCCATGCCACAAAAACAATACTATAAAAAAGAAAATCAGACTGCCACAACTAGAAGGACCTGCAACAAAGATATACAACTAGGTGAGGGAGGGGGCGGATTTGGGGAGACAAAGCAGGAAAAAAACAAAAGACTGGCAACAGTTGTTAGCTCATGTGCCAATCTTTAAAAAAAAAAAAAGAAAATCAGAGAAAAAATCTCTTGAAATTAAACATAAAATAGCAAGACAAAAAAGAAGAGTAGGGTTTGAAGATAAAGCTGAAGACTATCCCATAAAACAGAAACAGAAATGGACAACATAAA